ATAGTTCTGGTGGGTGTCCGGTGTCTCCGTGGCTTTGCATTGTGTCTCCATTACGGTGGAGCACCATCTGTTATCAGGGAATTAGTCCCATCGTGTCGGCATATGGAACGGCGCTCCTCACCAGCAGGCTTATATGTCCTCCTGCGTCTGGCGACATCTGATCTCCAGCCCGGGACAACTGTCTCATTATCTCCAAATTATATTCCGGATGGAAACGTCAACTGTCACTTCTTCATTTCCTTTATTAATACCGCGCGTTCCCATAAAGGAGACCGAAGGGACGTTCAGTGTGAGCGACTGCGACAGTGTATCTGATGGGATGCAGAGATCCCATCAGATGCACATTACATTAGACATGTGCAGCGGCTAAAAATTTGTTTCGTTTAGTTTCGGATTACGTTTTCTGGAATTGGGATCCTATGTGTGTTTCGTTTCGGGAATCGGATTCGTATTGGGATCTGATTCGATATTCGTGTCGGATTCGGAATTGGGACGAATTCCCGAAAATTCAACTTGAGGTGGGGTAGCAGAATTGGCACATTCGTCCTTTCTGGTTGCTGTGCTCTCGTCTTTACTATTAAAGGGACATTAAAATCCTTTTCTTAATTTGTTTTTATCCGTTTAAATGTTAACAGCGCACGCACAGGATTTGGACAAAATTCGTTCCAAATCCGAAATTTCGGATTCGGATGTTTTGGGATATGTTATATTTCGGAAATTCGGATGCTCCGAATCTACGAATTTCCGAAATTTCGTCCGAATTTCGATTCGGAACAAAACGAATCGCACATGTCTACATTACATTCTGCGAAGGGAAGTCATCAAAACTGGAGCAGCTGTGCATGGCAACCAATCAGCTTCTCTCTTTTCATTTTCAAATCTTAACTGAACAAACTGAAGAGAGAAGCTGATTGGTTACCGTACACAGCTCCAGTTTTGATAAATTCCGCCCCGCCTGTACAGTCTCCTATACACTGAGTGGCCAGATTATTATGACCGCCCCATCAGTACTTCGTTGGGCCGCCTTTTGCCTTCAATACTGCGGCGATTCTTCTTGGCATTGACTCCACGAGATGGTGAAAGGTGATGCGAGGAATCTGACACCACGCCGGATGAATAGCGCTGTCCAGTTCTGTGAGATTTGATGGTTGTGGATCAGCTGCCTGATTGGCTCTTTCAACTTCGTCCCACAAATGCTGCAATTGGATTGAGATGTGGTGATTGTGGGGGCCACCTAAGCAAGGTAAAGTCTCCCTCATGTTCTTGAAACCACTCCTGCACAATACGAGCACCGTGGCATGGCGCATTGTCTTGTTGGAAGAAGCCATCTCCATTGGGATACGCCATCAACATGATTGGATGAACTTGTACAGGAACGATACTTTGGTATGTTGTGCTATTCAGATGTTGTTCCACGCGAATTAAAGGGCCCAAATCATGTCAGGAAAACACGCCCCAAACCATAACACCGCCCCCACCAGCTTGAAGGGTTGTACTCATGCATGTGGGGCGCATGCTTTCATGCTGTTCCCGCCGAATTCTCACTCTGCCATCTGCATGATGCAACTGGAAACGTGATTCATCGGACCACATGACTTTTTTTCCAATTCTCGACCGTCCAATCCTTGTGTTCCTGTGCGAATTGGAGACGTTTTATCTTGTTACCTGCAGACGGCAAAGGTGTTAGAACCGGTCTTCCATATCCCATACGTTGCAGTGTACAGCGAACAGTGCGTTCAGAGATCATTTGAGAGGTTCCCCGATTAAGATCTGCAGTCATTTGATGCACTGTTACCCTTCTGTTGTCTTGTAGCAGTCTTGCCCCTCCCCCGTTCTGCCCTAACATTGACTAGTCGCTGACGGCCACAATTCGCACGTTCAGACCCAGATTTTCGGCTGACAGTCCGGTCTTTAAACACTTTAACAATGAGCCCCTCCTGAACATTTAACGAATTCTGCTGTTTTGCTGATACTCGCTCCATGGCTCCGAGCGCCAACACTCATCCCAAAGTCACTCGTTCAAAGGCTGTTAAATCATCTATATATTCCCGGGGAACGTCTGATTTGTGATTAGGTCTGTCCTTATGATACATCGTTTGGGGAAATCTGAAGGAGATTGTATAGAAATTGTACCATGAGATTGTATTGGGTACGGCCAGCCTCAGAGTGTGTTCAGGATTGAAGGGACTGGTTGGACAAATGCATCTTGTTTATTATCAGACGGGATATGAAAATGTTCATTAAAATGTGCACATAGTGGGCAGTGATTCTATTATTATTATACAAGATTTATACAGAGCCAACAGTATGCGCCGTGCTTTATGACCATCTCATTGATATCTAACTAGACTAAAAAAGTTGAACTCCGGCCTCCTTTCAGTCATATATCTGACCTCCGTCCTTCCCTTCAGTCTTCTATCTGACCTCCGTCCTTCCCTTCAGTCTTGCACAGTTGTACCGGCTCCTCTCCTCTTCCTCTGATGTCACTGCACACTGGGAGCTTCTCACAATGTGTATGAGAAGCTGCAGCAAGTCAGATAGAGCCCGCCTCATTTCCTGCCTGGAGGACAACATCCAGCATCATGTAGCACTTTCCTCCTTTGGGAGGAGTTATGCAAATATCATGCCTTGGTGGGTGTCAGTCTGTTGGAGGGGGCGTTTCTAGGCAGGCTGTATTTGCATGTAAATGCCCACATGCGATGCTGAACCTCCATGATTGATAGAACTGA